GTGTCGCTGCAAAATGCATATCAAAGGGCCAAGCCCAATTATTTGGTTGGCACTCGGGGAGCAGGGGCATGAACAGCACCAAGAACCCAGGGGGAGGAAAAAGGAAACCCCTGACAAGTGTAGGGCTGGAGGAGGAGGAGACCTGACCTTCTCCAGGAGCCTGCCAGGGCCCCAGGGAGGGAGGCAGAGCACGGGTGTGGACAAGGAGAAGTCCCCACTTCTTGTCGGCCATGGCTGGCCTCACGGCCCTCAACCCCAGCTCAGCCTTGGGTGACCTCCGTAAGCCTCTGGCCTCAGCTTTCCTATCTGTATCATGGGATACATGCCACCAGATGGTCCTCAAGGGCCTTTCTGGCACACCCCCCAAAACCTTTTAACCTCCTGTTCTGTCTTCATCACCAGGAGGAAAGCAGAGATGGGGCTGCACACGGAGGAGGGAAGGACAAGCCCCACAGTCCTCGTCCAGTATGAGGGGAAGAACCCCTTCCCTTCCCAGGACTAATGCTGGGAGCCCTGAGCCTGCCCCTGCCTAGAACAGTCAAGATGAGGTTGAGAGCTGCAGGAAGGCCTGAGACAAGGTTAGAGGCCTAGTCATCCTGAGCCCCAGGCCAGGGCTCTGCCCCTGCCCAGGTGCCTTCACCATCTTTGACAGAGACCAAGGTACAGCAATGACCCCAACATTCCCTTGGAGTAAAACCCAAGGCATAAAAGGCACAGGGCTATGAGGACTCCTCCCCATAGTGCTCAGGAAACATGGCCTTGAAGGTAGACCAGGACCTCCCTGGGGTTCCTCCTCACTGCCTTGTCATCCCCTGCTTCCAGTGCAGGTGTGCCCGTGAAACAGACTTAGCTCTGGGCCCCTCTGCCTATCTTCAAGGCCTGGAAAACTCCTCTTGGTCTCAACTCAGCAGCCCCTCCTCCGGGAAACTTTCCCTGCCTGGGTCAGGGTCTCTTCTGGGTCCCATAACTCCTGTGCCTCCGCGGTTCCCAGCACAGATCACTGAAGGCTGGCTTCTTGGAGAAGGTGGATCGAAGCGGAATTCAGAAATAAGGAAGGATTTGTGGCACAAAGTGGGGGAAGCAGGGGCTCTAGGTAGGGGACGGCACAAGGAAAGCCTGGTGACAGGGAGGCATGAGCAGGGCCTCTCTCAGAGCTGAGGGCACCCCCAGGTCCCAGCCAGCAGGTGAAGCCCATGTGGGTTCCATGATGGTGAGGCTGTTGCCAAAAGGAGACTCCTCATCCTCTGGGAGCCCAGGAGCAGCAGGGCACCTCCAGGAGGCTCACCAAACAAGCAAACCCAAACCCACGAGACAAATCCTTGGCCCCAGGGCTGGGGCTGGCAGTGGGGGGACAGGGCTGATAATGGGATCAGCCAATCCCAGACCCTACCCCACTGCCCTGAGGCACAGCTTTCGGCAGTTGGCTTCTGAGGAGTGCTCCCACAGTTACCACCTTCCTGTCCCTGAGCCTCGTCAGATGGCCAGAATGGAGAGATCTGGCTGCCACCATCTCACTGTGTGGCCTTGGGCAAGTCAGTCCACTTCTGTGGGCCTCACGGAAAGCTCTAGATTTAACGAAACCAACAGAGAAGGTAGCCAGATGTAGGGAAGGAAGGAAGTCTGTCGAGGAGGCAGCTGCCAGTGGGGAGAGGCTGGGAGAGGTGCCAGGAGGGAGGCCTCGGAGGTGAAAAGACGAGGCAGGCCAGCAGCCCCAGTCCCCCGTCATGCCTGCTGGTTCTTTGGGGAACAGCTGCTCAGTGGCCAAGGCCAGGGCTCTGCAGGAGCCCTCAAAAGATCAATCAGGCCATAATTAGGGTTGTTATTAATCTCTTTCCACAATGGTGCCAGGCAGCCTGTTTATCCAACACTTCCGTGCCAGGAGACCTCTGATTTCGCTTCCCCTCTGAGCAGGCCAAGCTGGACTATATTCCAGGCAGACTTGCTCCCAACCCTGGCGGTGGCTTCCCTAGTTCTTCCGCCCCTTTTGCCCCCCGCCCCCCCTGCAGAAAGTTCTCCCTGCTCCTCCCTTGGGAAGGGATGGCTTCCTTGGAACGGTGGCCTCTGGGAGGACTTATTCCCTACCTAAAGCTCTTGAGGTCACTCAGTGAATGTTTAAGCCTCTGCTCGGTACCAGGCACTGCTGGGAGCCAAGCAGGATTCACAGAGAATCGGACACGAACCTTCCTTTCAAGGAGACAACCACACTGCAGCAACAGCAGCTGGGATTACGGCCACGTGCAGTGTTTTCTAGTGCCCAGGAGCCTCCATGCATATCGGCTCATGGAAGCATCTGGCTGATTCCAGAGGTAAGTACCAGATCCCCGTTTTGTGGGTGAGGAGGGGAGGCTAGCAGAGGTCAGGATAGGTCTCCTGAGCTGCGCCTGCCGTTGAGGCCCTAGGGGGACAGACCTGCATGTCTGAGGTATGTCTGGGGCTTCAGGCTGGACAGGAGCCAGGAATGGACCCTGCCCAGGGGACCTGGCTTCTCTTGGCCTAGGAAGGACCTCTCTTTCCCCAGCCAGGGGTCTGAGCGTGGGCTGAGTAGTCACCAAGAGTGTGACCTTGCCTTGCCTGGGATACAGAGCTTAGCATCTCAAAACTCAAAATCTCTCCTTACAGACTCTCTAAACCGGGGTCTCAGAATCACCTCACTCAAGACTCCTATGGTCAACGAGTCCTGGCGCAATCCAACAGGGATCTAAGAACTATCCTTGGATTTCAGGCTATCCAAGTCCTCAATGTCGCGGCACCAGGGAAGATCTGCAGTCATTCCATCCGGCCTCCCTTCCCAGGCAGAAATCCCCTGTACAGTTAGTTCCTAGGGGTGGTTCCCCAGCGGAGTGGCCTGTGTAGGCTTGCATCCCGCCCCCCCCCCCCCACAGCCCCCTCCCTCCCTGGAGGGCTGAGTGCTTCCGTCTTTAAGCTGCTGGGACCCCTATCACCCCCCTCCCCCACTGGCACTGACAGGTTCTCCCTGGAGCAGGCAGAGTGAGCAAATATTCTCAGGGTTTCTGGCAGGGCCTCAAGGGTCAGCCTGGGGGCCTGGTGGGGTTGGTTTTCACTATTCTCTCACCTCGGTTGACACCCCAGCCTCCCAGGAGCCCAGTGATTCAGTCACAGGGACCAGGCTGGCTTTTTCCGATGCCTCTCCCTGGGTCCCCGGGAAGGAGGAGCCACCCGAAAAGGAGGAAAAGGAGAAAGCTGAGTCTGGCAGAGACTTGCACTGAGCAAACTCGTCCCTGCCCGGTTTTTACCCCCGGAGGGAACAGAGAGCAATGATTTATTTTATTTATTTATGTAAAATAGCAGAGTTATCACACAAACAGGCTTCCCAAGCAGGCCCTCGGGGATGGGAAGAAAAGCAAGGCCTACCATTTAAGGAATCTTTCTCTGGCTTCCCTCCCCTTACACTTACCTGTCTAGCCTTACCTCCCCCTGCCCCTCCTCACACCATTCTGCTCCAAGCACACCACATTATCCGGCCTCCCCACCTCCACGCCTTTGCTCATGCTGGGCCCTCTGCCAGGAAAGCTCTCCCCACCACCCCAATTCAAATCCTATCCACCTTAACAAATGGACCCTGTGCAAAGCCTGGTCTGATTCCCGCCCCCCCCCCAAGCCCACTGCCTCCTCTCTTTGTGTCCCCGTCATCTGGCAGAGCTCTCGAGACATGATCACAGGCCTCTGTGCCCGGTAATTATCTGCTTCCGTAGCCGCCTTGCCCACCAGACTGAGAGCTTCCCCAGGCAGAGATTTTTAATCCGTTTGGCCAAGTTCTTCTGAAGACCCTGCACCGGGCGACGGGGACACAAGATACCCCAGGCCCCATCCCTGCTAGAGGAGTCACTTTGCAGGGGACCTGTGCCTCTGCACTGGGCCTGGCACCAAGCAGGCACCTGTTTATTTGTGAGTCAGAAAAGCTGCTTACACGTGCAGTGGAAGGAAAGGAGATCACAGCCTCTTAGACCATGCGACTGCAGAGCCACTTCCGAGCCCGATCCCAGTTCTGCTCCTGAATAATAATTAGCCTTTCCCAATTTACAGAAAAAAAAAAAGTTACTATAAAAAAAGTCTCCATTAAAGCATTTTCTCCCACAATTTTTGCTTAACCCCTTGACATCTGTTTGCACATATCTGTTCCGGGTCTGGTGTAAGGTGACCTCAGAATTGATTTCCTCACTGTCCCTTCATCTCTTCTCTGTGGTGTCCTGTGAAAAACAGAAGCCCCTCTACTTCTAGGCACGTCTGAGAACCTGGGGCCTAACCTCTTCTTCCCTCCTCTCAGATTTCTTGGTCTCCATCCGGTAACCAAAGAAAACTGGATTTACTAGAACGCTGAGGAAGAAAGTCACAGGAATTTGCTGGCCTGGCACACCTTGAAGGTTCATGCCAATTCCGTGATTCAAGACCTCTAATTCCACCATTTGCTCTTCATTCCTTTGGCTGAAGCATCACCTTCGCCAGGATTATCTTTGAAAATACAGATCTCCTCTGGGAATGGGAGCTCTTTCAACCCCCAAATTGGATGTCAAGGAAACTTCGTTTAATACGTGGTTCTAGAGGCAGTAAATCACAGGGATTGAGAATGTGCAAGGAGACTCAGTCTGCCTGGGTTTGAAACCCAGTCCTACCACCTACTAATTGGTAGGATACCACTATACCTCAGTCTCCTTATCCATAAAGCGGGGATAATAGCACCCACCTCATGGGCTGTTGAGGGGATTAAATGAGCTAATACATGTCAGGTGCTTAGACAAGTATCCAGTACACTGGAATAAGTTGTCTAAGAATACTCCAGTTCTTTACTCGCCCATCAAATGGGACAACAATCCCTGTCCCCCTTGATTGGCTTTTTTGTTCTTTGGTTTTTGTAAATTGCGAGGTGCTGTCTCCCTAGGAGAGGTAGATACTGTTTTAGAAGCCAGAGCACTGCTCTCTGTGGCTTGTCCCTACCTCCTTTCTCCCCCCCACCCCCCACCCTTCCTTTCTCTTTTCTTTACCTGGGAGAAGGTAGCAGCGGCTGTGAGCAGGGCTCTTGAGGATGTCCTGTCCACGGAGGTGGTGGTGTCACTTCCTTGGGACAGCTGAGGGGACAAGGGGACAAACCCAGTCAGATCACTCATCGGTCCACCCTACCTTCTCCTCTCCCACCGGACCCTTAGCCAGTCCCCATGCCGTGCCCACCCCATGCTGGGTGTGGGGCCCAGGGATGGCTCACGCCTTGTCCCTGCCCAGGGAAGCTGCTAAGCCGGCGGGTGGTCCAGCTATGGACCACCAGACACCCCACAAGCAATCCTACCTCCACACATGCTGCCCACAGACCAGCCCCAACCCCAAACACAGGACAACCAGTACCCTGAACCACTCTTGCCCGCTCCAGAACCCACGTACATGCAATCCAAGTTCCAGCCACTCTGGGGAGAAATTGGGGCTGCGTGTGGCTCCTGGGGGAGCAGAGGCCCTTTCGTGCTGCCCAGAGACCTGCTCCTCTGGAGGTAGCCGCCAAACCAGCTGCTCTTCTAATGCAGCCGATGGGGGAGGGCGGTGGGCTGGAGGCGGGATCTGGGGCACCGCAATTATGTGGCTAACTTCTGACTCATGTACTGGCTCCCCTACCACCAGCTCCTACAGCCGGTAGGGCAGCCCTCCTGCCCGGGAACTGGGAGGAGAGTTGGTTCCGACAGGCCTTGGAGAGAAATGGAGAAGGGACACAGCTCTGGGGCAGCACTGCAGGCTTGCAAGGGATGCTGCCGTGTTGCCCACCAGGGCAGAGCGAGGCTGGCAGGGCCGGGAGCTGGCCTGGCCTTCCCAGAGAGTTGTAGACAGAGCCAGGGCTGGGACCCGGGCCTCTTGGTGCCCTGCAGCCCCAGGAGAGGGGTGGCTCAAGCCCATGCCAACATGAGAACTCTCCAACCCGATCAGGCCCTGGAGCCACACCCCAGCAAGAAACACACAGCCAAGCTCGGCCTCAGACCGGAGGGGGACAGAACTGGACTCAGAGACAGCTTAGAGAGGACATCCGGCTACTGAGAGACCCCCGGGGCACCCTAACCCTGCCTCCCTCTACCTGCAGTCCCCAGGTTTCTCACCATGCTCTAAACGCACTGCACTTTACAGTTTACAAAACATACTTATTTCCTTTGCCTCCCATTCATTATGACCCTAAGTGATGGGTGGAATATAAACACTCTCAATAGAAACATTCTCAAACTCCAGTGTGCAAACAAATCACCTGGAGACCCTGTTAAAACAGTCCGACACAGTAGGTCTACAAGGGGGCCTGAGATCCTTCATTTCTGACCAGCTCCCAGGTGATGCTGGGGCTCAGGTCCAAGGACCACAGTTTGAGTAGCAAGCACATAGTGGTTAACAGCATGGGCACTGGGGTCAAACTGTCCACATCAGAATCTTGGTTCTTACTGTGTAACCTCGGGCAAGTTACTTAACCTCTCTGTGCCTCAATCTCCGTATTATAAAATAGTTACAATGACAGCAATAATAGTAAACCTGACTCACAGGGTTGATGTGGGGATTAAATTACGTAAAATGCTTGAAAGCGATTATTATTTCGAAATTTAAAATGAAGGCTCTGAGACGTGGGCGCAGCCAGCAAGGTAGCAGAGCCAGAATTCAACCCCAAATCTCTTCGCATAAATCCTGAGATACCAAGTTACCACAAAAGGTCACAGCCAGCGAGCCCTCCCCCAGGCATGGATATCGGGGCCCAGAGAAGGATAGGGAGTGACAAGTTCATGCGAAAGTTGGTGTCAGAAATTCAAGTTCATGACTCCCGGCCTCATGTTCTTTCCACTTAACTGTCCTTCTGCACTGAAGAGAAAGTGTCGCAAATTCTCCCTGAGGGCCCCGTCCCCGTCTCTGCTTCAGCGGCTACATAGGCAGTGGCTACCCTGGAAGCCAGATGTGGGAAGGGCGGGATGTGGAGGCTGCCCCCTTGCCCACCGTGGCCCGGGTTCAGGTCCCCCCGCTCCCTCAGAGTCCTGCCCACCAGGCCGGGTGAGAACCGTCTGACATCCTCCTTCCTGTTCCATCTCCTACCTCTAATCTGTGGCACTGCTTGGTCTCAGGGTCACCCAACTGGGGTCACAGGCAGAAGGTGACGTGGCCTGGGCCTATCTCCACCCCCACGCTGGCTTCCCAGCACGAGACCAGTGGGAGCCTGTGAGTCACTTGAAGGAAGTGTTTGGCCCCAAACAGGAAGTGGCTCTTCAAGCTGAAAAGGGCCCCGAGGCAGGTGGCTGGGTGGCAGAGCCCCAAAAGCCGATTGGGATACAGTAATACCTGTTCAGATTTTACCTGAAACTCAAACGTGGCGTCCATCCTCTACTGTGAAACCTGCCAGGGGCTTTCCTGCCGTGTGACCTTAGGTACACCAGTGCACTTCTCTGAGCCTTGATTCCCTCATCTGTAGGATCTGGGGCTGCATCACAAGACTGCCTATGGCCTGGCATTCCACAATGAAATGAAGGGTTGGAGGAAGTGAATACAGGTTTTAAATAAATGAGTAAACGCACACACGAGTGAAATGAATGAATGAACGCAGACACAGAGGTTTAGACACCAGCCATGGCACAAGTTCCATCATTTATCTCTCGTTAAACTGTACGATAGAGATCTCACTGATGAGATCTCATCCCATCCCCTGAATCACCCTTAGGCGCAGGGCAGAAAGGCCACTGCCCTGAGCCCCACACATCACAGACACATGCTCACAAACGAACGTAGTAGAGAACATACAGGAGCCCCCACCACAGGACATCCGTGGGACCCGGGAGCCTCATCCACTCCCCTAACACCACTCAGGTTCCGCTGAAACCCTTCTCCATTTCTTGGCGTGAAGAACAAAAGATGATTCTGTCCAGATAAAGGTCTGTGGGTTGCGTTGTTGAGGATGAGGGAGGGGGACACTAGGAGTGGTGGTGGAGGAGGGGACTAAGTAGCAGGAAACATTCCAGAGGCAAATTAAACTTGTCAAATCCTTTCAGACAGCGACTAGCCATAGCTTCTTGCATAACAAAGTGTCTTTCCCAGTAATGCTGAGCAACATTTTCTTTTTATTTGGCTTTTCTCCCTGTTCCAATCTGTGGTTCTAAAAGTACTCATGAATTAGTGCGGTATCCACAATAAATACACAAGGCAGCTGAAGAACATCTTTCAGCATCTAAGAATTCATATTACTCAAATTAATGTAACATGAAGTGTGATGCTAATCCTTCACACTGGCAACCACATGGACACCTGGGACCGTGAATAGGTTCACAGTTACAAATGTTCAAAAATGTGGATATTTCATCTCTAAATAATTTTACTTTAAAATCTGATATTCGTTGATCACAACGTATATAGTTTTTAAAAAAAATTTTTTTATTAACATCTATTTATTTTTTGAGAGTCAGAGAGAGACAGAGCATGAGCAGGGGAGGTGCAGAGAGAGGGAGACACAGAATCGGAAGCAGGCTCCAGGCTCTGAGCTGTCAGCAGAGAGCCCGACACGGGGCTTGAACCCACGAACCGTGAGATCACGACCCGAGCCGAAGTCAGTCGCCCAACCGACTGAGCCACCCAGGCGCCTCACAATGTATATAGTTTTAATATCCATAGATAATTTCAAGGAATGAAAACAAGTTTTGAGGATGTAAGTTCTCCTTTCTTTACATTTACTTTAATTTACGTTTTTGGGGGCGCCTGGGTGGTACAGTCGGTTAGGCGTCCGACTTCAGCTCAGGTCACGATCTCGCGGTCCGGGAGTTCGAGCCCCGCGTCAGGCTCTGGGCTGATGGCTCAGAGCCTGGAGCCTGTTTCCGATTCTGTGTCTGCCTCTCTCTCTGCCCCTCCCCTGTTCATGCTCTGTCTCTCTCTGTCCCAAAAATAAACAAACGTTAAAAAAAAATTTACGTTTTTTTTTTTTTTTAATTTTTTTTTTCAACGTTTATTTATTTTTGGGACAGAGAGAGACAGAGCATGAACAGGGGAGGGGCAGAGAGAGAGGGAGACACAGAATCGGAAACAGGCTCCAGGCTCTGAGCCATCAGCCCAGAGCCTGACGCGGGGCTCGAACTCCCGGACCGCGAGATCGTGACCTGGCTGAAGTTGGACGCCCAACCGACTGCGCCACCCAGGCGCCCCCCAAAAAATTTACGTTTTTGATGGAAATATATTCTATACACTTGAAATATAATCGCATATTATTTTTGATCCTTCAGATGATTACCGTCAATATCCAATTTTTAAATGATGTGAAAATCTTGATTACAACAACTACAGTGATCTTGTAAAAATGAAGACAATATATTTTACAAAATAAGTAGCAATGCATCCGAACATCACCAACAAAGCCCCCGGATGTGTACTAATAACTACATTCAGTCTCCTTTGCTATTCAGTCACTCTCAGTTGTATAAAACCTTTATGTGTATATTTCAATTTGTATTATGAAGATATATCTGTCAAGAAGAGAAAATCAAATTATTTCATTGAGCAGTTTCTGAGTTGTGGTATCACCTTCAAATATCTGACAAAGTATATGGGCCTCCATTTGCATTGCCCCCCCCCCCCCCCACCAGGCCCAGCAAACTCTGCCCTGGGCCTGCCTGTCTACTCCCTGCCCACCAGCTCTCACTTCTGTGGGGCCCAGGCCACCTGCCCTGGTCACTTCACCTGAGCATCTGCCGGGCTGCCAGCCAGCCCTGCCTTCCCTGGAGTCTGCCTTTTAGAAAGCGCTGTACCCATGAAAGGTCCTCATGCTTAGATGTGGGCCTTATTTCTAGAGCCGACTGGGGTTCCTTCAAGGACAGTGACCGTGACTTGACTAGCATCTCCCTCAGACCTGCTGCTCCTTAAAGTCCCTTACCTTCCAGCACCATCTGGGAAGGGACCTGGCCCAGGGGGCCTAGAAGTGTCTGGCAGCCCCCTGGCCATCAGGCTGAGCGGATGGACCCAGTGACCTCTGGTCCCCACAACTGGTTTTCTCCTTTGCACCCCTTCTCAGTCCACCTCTACCCATGCCCGCCTTCGGCTCACTTACTCCGCGCCTACTGGTCACACTGATCCCCTTGGACTAAAGCCACCAGAATGCACACTCCTGAGAAACCTCCACGTTTCCGGCCCACCACCCTTCCTAGCATCTTTCACAGAGCGCTTCCAGAGAGCAGGAGCCAGGTTCCGGAGGGGGACAGGGTAGGGGAGAGTAGGAGACTAAGCCAGGAGACCTGGGCTCTGAGCCTGGCTTGGCCACTGGCCGGCAGGTCAGCCTCCTCTCTAGGCTCAGGTCTTCGTTCCTCAAATGGGTTATAGCCACCAGCCCAGATTCCCCATGGGAGGATTGGGGGAACCCAGCGGACAGGGAGAACCAATGTGATAGGACCTAACACCATCCGTCTCGTGTTTCCCACTGGCCTGGTGCATGCCGGTCCATCTACCGCAGCACCGTTGACCACATGCGGAGGGCCGGCCGTAGCCTTGAAAGGGGCAGAGAGTCTGTCCACTCTCTCGTTTGTCTCCCTCAGCCTCCCATTGCACCTGCACTCTGCAGACGGCAGAACAGCTCAAGGGCTCTGGGTCCCTTGTTCGAGGGCACAGCTATGTGAATGGCAGAGCCAGGATTCGTACTCGGACTCCCAAGCCAGTCTACACAACCATAACTGAGCTCTTCTGTGTGCCAGGAGAGGCTCCGAGCCCTGGTGGGGGAGCCCGCTGTCTAATGGTATAGAGAAAGGCACCGAGTGCCCTCCGAACAAAGGAGGCGTGAGCTGGGGGTGGGGTGCAGGGGGGCCTTGTTGGCGGATCAGCGCTTTCTCCTAGCCTCACCCCAACCTAGTCCAGCACTGGATCCACTGGGGGCAGCAACGAATAGCCACGACTGAACAAGCTTGTTTCCTCTGCATCCACCACCCCAGCCAGCCGCTCCCTGCCCGCTCCTTGGAAGGAAGGGTAGGCAGGGAGGAGCCCAGGCCTTGGGATACGTGTGCTAGACATTAAGCCTGGGGAAAGCAGGACCCCGTCCATCTGAGCGCAGAATGAACCCTTTCCACAGTACGTCCATAAATGGTTGCCAGAGGAACTAGTGATAAACAGCACGCACTGACCACTGGGGTCCCTACCTCAGTCCATCGTGTTCATTAAGACCTTAGTGCAGGTTCCAAATCAGACAGGCCTGGGAGCCAGAGCAGAGCTGGTAAATGGTAAGGTGCTTCCCTAACCAGCCAGGGGGCAGGGAGCAATTCCTGGCCCTGTCACCTCCACCCTTTTGCTGTGTGATCCTGGGCAAGTCACTTTGCCTCTCTGGGTATCAAACAGGGATTAACACCATGTTGAAATCACCAGACCTGAGGTGGGTGGATACAACACTTTGGTGAGAAACATGGGGCACTGAGGCTCAGAGAGGGGAGCTGACTTGGCCAAGGTCACACAGCAGGCACAAGAGTCTGAACTAGGACCCAGGCCTGTCATGCTCTACAGCGCTGGACTCCCAAAGGCCTTAGTGGGGAGGCCAGATTGTGAGTGACATCACAGGGGTGGGAGAAGGGTTGGGGCAGATTCCATCCGGGCTACCCCAGGAGGACACCACCAGTTAAAGTCATCATCGTCAGAGTCCTGAGAGCCTAACTCCTGCTTGTTTGTTTCTGGGACATGCTGACCAACATGAGTCCCAGAAGCAATCCTTGAACGCCTGGGCTTTGCCCATAGACATGGTGGGGTGGGGTGCCGTGGGCCGAGAAGAAAAGTCAAATTCAATTCAGGTGGGGATGGGCCCCAAGGGCCTTGATTTCCTCTGTGGTGCTCAGTGCTTCCATGGCCCTAATCTAACCACTGCCCCTGGGCCCTCTGCCATGTCCTGCTCTTCACAGATGCCCCCTAGGCTGTGCAGGCAGGGCTGGAGATGTAAGTGGCACAGAGGCAGACTTCTCCAGAAGGGACTACAGCAAGGCAACCTGGCGAAGGTGGAAAGGCTGCTTGAAGCCGAGTCATCAGGGAGAACCTTGGGGGCTGGGGCCACGTCTGCCAGCTGAGGAGCTCTGTGAGATTCTGCTTCTGGAAGCTGAGAGAGCGTGAGCCAGCACTGGGCCTGGGGGAACAGTGGAAGCACAAGGAAGGTTCTGCCTCTTGGTGGTCCCTCCCAGCAGCCAACATCTGTGGAGGTGTGTGGGTGGACTGCCCTGAGGCTGTTGGAATCCCTTTGCCTGCGGTCATGGCCGGTCCCCAGGGCCCCCCTTTACCGGTGACTACCTGGGTAAAGGTCTAAGTTCTCTAGCATCCTTGCCCTCGGTCAGCTCTGGCCTCATGTCCCCAGCGCTTGCTTCTCCTCCTCTTTCTGGTTCTACTTTCCCTATTACTTTAGCAGCTTCTTTTCTGGAAAACTTCCTAATAAATCACTCTCACGTGAACCCTTGTCTCAGGGTCTGCTTCGAGATCGCCCCACCTCAGACAGCTATGAGGTCAGTGCCA